GAAGAGCCCCACAGCGGATTTTCCCTGTTATTGCAGCTCCCGTCGATGGTGCGGTACTTGCGGGAGTGGCGGCTGGAGGGACAGTTGACCCGGGTCACGGAGCGTGCGCAGCCGGAGAGGGAGGCGATTTTGTCGAGCTGACGCCGAGATATCATCTTGCTGATGTCAGGAAGGTCTGTGTGACAGAAACATCTGTTAAGTGATTTTCTGTTGTTTCCTCCGGGGTAGATTGATAGGAGGCAACCCTTGTACAGGCCGGGGTGTTATGAGATGTCAAAGAGTGTTTTATGCAGATCAAATTTTTTCATCATCTTACATAGCCACTTATGTACGTTTCACTTTTTCACTCATCACTTAGAATTCTACCTGTAAGTGGAATCCCACCTTCGACATTTTTCCCATTCTTGACCTTCTCTGCCACCAGCTCAATCGTGTTCTCAAAGATCTCAGCAGCCCGTGCCTCCCGCTGGGCGCCCGGACTCATGTGGCGGAACAGGTCCAGGAAGTCTTCTGGCGTCTTGTCTCTGAAAAGTACCAAAAACACACAAAAAATGATTTTCTATGAATAGGGTTGCTACTGTAATTGATTGATCTCCACGTGGCTAGGCTGAAATTATGATAAACCTCTTCATTGATCCACTGCCTGCTGCGAGAACGGGGCACTGTGAAAAAAACATGAGGCAAAGAACATGACAGCGCTAGCACCATGAGAAACTTTAAACTGTTCTCCAACTCGAAAAGGAAACTAATCTCGATACAGTTTTAGCTCACTGAAGAGCTAATCTCACACTGGTCGTGACAGAGAAGGCAATAGACGCTATGTACAGTATTCACAGGTTCATTGCATCAGCCAACGATTGAAAGATATTTACACCCAAACATTTATCACTGAAATCCACAATGACCATAACAGAGGTACATCTTCTAGTAACAAGTTACGAACGTACCGTTTGTTTAAAACTATATATAAAGAAGAAGAGTACCTATCGGTTAACAACATACAACACAGGATAGCTGCAACAAAACTCCGAATAAGTTGCCACAAATTACTCATAGAAACGGGACGGCACAACCGCATTCCTCTCCAGAACAGACTCTGTCAATACTGTAACATGAATAGAATAGAAGATGAACAACACTTTATTTTAGACTGTACTTTATATTCTAATGAAAGATCTGTCCTTTTAATTATATTAAAGAGAAGTTCCCATACTTTGAACACCTAAGCGCAAATGATAAATTTATATTTTTG